GCTATTATAAGTACCATTACTACCATTCTTCCATTCCCTACTAACCAAAGGTAGGGTAGCTGACTCCACGATTTAGGGTCTAGGGTTTAGGCTTTAGGCTGTAGGGTTTAGAGTTTAGGCTTTAGGCCTGAGGGTTTAGGCTTTAGGCTTTAGGGTTAATCTAAGGCGCCTGCAAATTTGCGGGATTCCGCAGTAAAGATATACGGGATTTCGGGTCGAGTAAGAGTCTAGTAGGATACTGGCGTAATGAATCGGCTCAGGGAGTGGTGCTTAGAGCTTGGGTGTAGGGCTTAGGGTTTAAGGTGTAGGGCCTCCTATCTCTAAACCCTAAACCCTAAACCCTAAACCCAGGTTCGGGGCCTCCTATCTCTAAGGGTAACTTGAACCGGGTTAGATGACGAGGACCTAGAAAGCCAAGAGACAGCCGGCTACCAGAGAGCCCAGTACCTTTCCAGAATTCGGGAGTATGGCTCTACGGTTGAGGGTTTAGGGTTTAGGGTTTAGGGGTTAGGGGTTTAGGGGTTAGGGTTTAGGGATTTAGGGTTTAGGGTTTAGGGCTTAGAGGTTTAAGGCTATTCTCTCTGAATCCCTGCCCGGGGGGCGAGAATCCCATGCGCAGAGAGTCTTGTCCCAGGACGCAGACAGAATTTGGCGGTGCCTGGCTCAGGCATGGAGGGTTTAGGGTTTGGGGCGCATGGTTCCCTAAATCCCTAAGCCTAAACCCTTAAACCCCTAAACCCTTAAACCCTTAAACCCTTAAACCCCTGAACCTTGAAATTAAGGTTCAGGGTCTACTTAGGAGATGAGTGTTGATTTGCTGAACCCTCATCCCAGGCCCTAAACTCTACAAACCTTACTGAGGCGCTGAAGTCCCACTATGGGGCCTTAGCAATAATTAGAATAGCTTCCTATGTTTCAGAAAAGAGCCGCATTTTTGGAGGCTGCAGGTACTCCAACAGAATCCAAGCTCTATAGCCTATCGAATCCGTTTAAGAAACCTATGGAAACCTCCTAAGCACTCCAAACCCCAGACCCTTATAGAAACCCTTAAAGGATCCCTAAACCCTAAACCCTAAACCCAAAACCCTAAACCCGAAACCCTAAACCTTAAACCTTAAAGGAGCCCTTAGCGGAACCCTGTGGGTCCCTAGGGAACCTGACCAACTCCGAAACACTCTGTAGGGGTTCAGGGGCTTCGGGGGTCTAGGTCTGGAGGCCCAGCTGAGGGATTTGGGGGGTCTGTGGGCTTTGGGGTTTTCGGGTGTAGGGTGTAGGGTTTGGGGTTTAGGGCTTGCGGTTTAGGGCTTCGGGTTCGGGGTTAAGGGTTTAGGGTTTGGGGTTTGGGGTTTAGGGTTTGGGGTTGGGGTTTGTGGGGGGTGTAGGGGCTTAAAGGTTGCGGCACCCAGGGGTTTAGGGGTTTTGGCACCTAGCGTAGTGGGACCTACGTATACGTAGACCCTTAGCCAGGGCACTCGCTGTCGTACTCCAAACACTTCACCGCCTGTCGCAGGGCGTCCGAGCCCGATGCCCGGTTTCGGGCTGAGGGTTCCGGGGAGTTCAGGATACACCGAGAGCCCAATAACCCTAAACCCTAAACTATCAGCCCAAGACCAGTTGTATCGCTGGGTATTCAAAGGAATCATGCCGAAAGTTCTTGAGGCCCAAAATAAAGGAGACTAGAGGTGGGGAGTTTAGGGTATATAGGGCTTCTATAAGGCTTCTATAAGACAAGAAGACCTTCTATAAGGCTTCTGTATCCTGGACCAAACCCACACCTAGTGGAATCCTACCGAAGCCGGGGTTGTGAACAGACTGGAATCTCTCTAGAAAGCCATGTGAAAACCTGTATGTATAGTGGCTTCCACTCGCCCATTGAAACCCTGAAAGCGGAAACCGCTACACCCTAACGTCTAAACGCCTAAACCATGGGCCATGTTGAATCAGTAGTGTTACGTAATGGTTAGGTATTTGAAATGTAAACAGGAGTTCTGTGGTCTAAAGTTCTTTTCATAGGGGGGGAGGTGTTCATGGGCGCCACACGTGAGGTCTACGTGCCTTGAATGAGGGATGTGCAACCCTAAACCCTAAATCTAAACCCTTTGCCCCTAACCCCAAACCCTAAACCCTAAACCGTCGAACTTGGCGATTTTTTCCCGTCGGGGACAAGGCCGAAGGTGCAGGGTGTTTGTCTGCACGGCGGTTATCTTTCCTAAAAAAACCCGGTTTTGTCCCATAGCCCTATTTTTTCTAGGTTTTCGGTTTCTAAGGTAGGGTTTGGAGTTCAGGGTTCGGGCGTGGGGTAGACCTGTAGCCGAAAAGACCTACTATTTTTTTTGGAGGGGGGGGTCCGTGTTGTGGTCTCTACATATACTGCCTTACAAAACTGCTTTTTGATGGTTCCTTATGTATGGTTTCTATATACAGTGCCTTAAAAACCTACTTTGTTTTAGGGTTCCTTTTATACGGTTTCCATATAAAGTGCCTTCAAAAGGTGGGTCCTTCGGACCACCGGTGGGGGGTTTAGGGTTTGAGGATTGGGGTTCAGACTTTGCCGGGCGGAGTTTCGGGTGTCGGGTCTCTGGGGTTTACGGTTCCCCAAAAACGGGCTTGGGTTAGGGTTTCTCTAAGGCAAGGGGTCTTTGTGAGGGTTTGGGGCGTAGGGTTTCGGGCTTTATATGAGGTCTAGGTTAAGGGTTTCTATACGGCAATAGAAGGTTTGTGAGGGTTTGGGGCTTAGGGGATAGGGCTTTAGGGCAAAAGAAGGTCTAGTATAAAGGGTTTCAAAAAGGCTTTATAAGGCCTGAAATAGACAGGGTTTCCATAAGGCTTTATAAGGTCTAGAATAAGTTAGTGTGTAAGGTTTGTGAGGGTTGCAAATTCACAGTTCCTATCATGGTGAGCCCCTGTCTCAAACAGCATGACCAAGTCGTGCTGCCTTCCGATGGTGGGGGATGCAGAGGCCCTAGACCCAAAACCCTAAACCGGCGCCCTAATTCGGGAAGCCCCCTTAAAGGCCTCCCAGCCCTGACACCCTGAACACCTGCAAGCCCTGCAAGACGTCGTCTCCCTGCCCTGCCTCGCGATGCTCCCCGACGCATGTATCGTGATGGCTGCAGAAGTCCTTTGGCTGGAAGTTTCTGGTACTTTCAGGGTTTGACGGTTTAGGGTTTAGGGTTTAGGGATTGGGCCGGGTGTAAGATGTTGGGTCGAGGGATTAGGGTCTAATAGGGGGAAACGAAGTAGAGAAGAGGACACGCAAGGCAGCACCCCCACACGGGGACAAGGACATATAGCACTTCCTTTCCAGGACAGCACATACGAAAAGAGAGCCGCACCTGTTCCACACAAGCAAGGCGGAGTAAAAGTGGTCCATAAGTGTGCGTGTGTGTGTGTGTGCCCTTAACAGGACAGCACACACGGTTCCAGAGGCAGAAGAAAAGGAAACCCAGTCCTGTTCCACAGGGGGGGTGGGGGTTCTCCTTCCTCATCTGGACTACACACACACACACACACACGGATGGAGACTCAGAGGGCCATAAAAGTGTAAGTGTGTGTGTGTGTGTGTATGTATCTGTACACCGGGGCCATACTTACACAGGCACATGTGCGTGTGTGTTTGCCCGTGTGATCCATTAGAAACGGAGTTCACGCGATCGCACCACTTCCTTAACAGAACAGCACACACGGTTCCAGAGGCAGAAGAAAGGGAAGCCCAATCCTGTTCCACAGGGGGGAGGCCGGGGGTTCTCCTTCCATCTGGACCCCACACATGGATGGAGAATCACAGAGGATGCGGAAGAACCGCAGACCGAGAGGTTGCTGCTCCATCGCCTACCCTACTGTTCCCACGACTCATATTACTGCTCCCACTACGCATACTCCGCCCACCCTCACCGCTGCCGTCACTACTCACACCCTCACCGCCCACACTGCCCCTGCTGCCCTGACCCACCACCCACTGCCCCTAGCACTCTGCTGCCCTCACCCCCGCCGTTCCTGAGAGCATTCCTCCACTTTCTTAAGTGTTTCGAGAGTATTTAGAGGCCGCCAATGCCCGCCCACCGCCCTCACCGCCCACACCACCCCCGTTGCCCCCATCGCCCCCGCCCCCACCACCCTCACCGCCCCCATCACTCTGCTGCCCTCACCACTGCCACCGTTCCTAGCATTCCTTCACTTTCTTAGGTGTGTAAAAATTGTTAGTGAACGGCCCCCCTACGCCCGTATCGGCCCCACCGCCCCCAGCCCCCCATCGCCCTCACCGCCTCCACCCTCCCCCACCACTCTGCTGCCATCACCACTCCCTCACCGCCCTCACCGCCCACACGACCCCCGCTGCCCCCATCGCCCTCACCGCCTTCTCGCTGGCCCGTGTCGAGCGCAGCTCTAAACTCGGGGTCGGCGGCACTGGCGGCAGCCATTAAATATATATATATATATATGGCTATATACCCAGAGGGTTCATACAACATGATATAGGTCCCACTAATCCAGAAAAACAGTTCTAGACCTACTTCGGCCTGACCCCCCGCCCGTGTCATAAATTGGTCCCGTAATGAGTCGGACCCACAGTCCCCCCCCTCAAAAAAGAATCTATTCATAAGAAGCGGGATTGCTCAACTGCACTCACTCACTCACTCGTTCGCTCCAGGCGTATCTGGCTCACTCAGGCCAAACATGCAGGAACTCGCCCTCTGTGACCGCCAAGAAGTTGTGCGTCGTGGTGGATGGCTGGCTCCTGCAGAGAGATGCAGAAAAAGAGAGAGAGAGAGAGAGAGAGAGAGAGAAAGCAAAAGCGAGAAGGGCTGAGAAGGGAAACAAAAAGAGAACACGCTGCAGGTGGATCGGTCCAGTCCACTTTGGCGCGGCACATTTTGAGCGGCCTAAGCACAAACGCCGGTTGGGATTCTTCCCCACAGGTGCCAAACCGTCTGGACGAGTCTGGGATCCAAGCTGTGGAGACCGCTGAGGCTCCGGTGTTGCCAAAAGCGGCCCCTTCATCAACATGTGCCTCCCGCATTCCCAACATTGGAACTCCTGCCTCCGCACCGGCAGAGAACGGCTCGTGCCAGTGGCTGCCCACCCGCGGCGTGCCCGCCGCCAGTCAGAGCGACGCCGCCTCGTGCGTTCGCCAACGGGTCTGCCTGCTTGGAGCTCTCATCTTGTTGTTGGCAGGGGTGCGCAACTGGACGTGACAGACAAACACAAAACCCACCTGGCCGGGCTCCACAGGTGCGCGTAGCGTGCCAGCACGTAGGCGCTCCCAAGGGAAGTCCAGGAACAAGGCCGTGCTGCGCGCGCCGTCGGCGTTCAACCTCCAATGGCTCCAATATCGTCACTCTTTTATACACCCACAAGCACCGCCGCGAGGGCTTGCTTCTGTAAGGCATCAATAGCAGGAAGATGCATCTCAACGCTAACTGCTAAAAGAACTGATGGGTCTCTGCCTGCCGAATCCGAAACATATCGTTTGTTAAATTTATCTACTGTCCATTATAGAGACAAAAAACAGCCCACACTGCCATTTGCCATGCAAGCGACGAGCGGCCGGCCCTCCCCAAACTCCCAAAGTAATGAGACCATTTTGCCGTACAGGCGAATAGCGGCCGACCTCTTTTGAGTGATGAAAACTTCACATTGCACATAGTTCTCATATCAATGGAGCAAGTGAGCGAGTGAGTGGAGTGCATGAGTGGAATGAGTGAGCAAGCGGGTGCGCGAGCGAGGAATGGAATGCATGCGTAATCGTAGCGCCAACACGTGCCTGGTTCGCTCGGGCTCCAATAGACCGTCGCAAAGCTGGCGAGCCTAAGTTTGATGTGAGCTTGGTGCAGGCTGGCTGAACGAAGGCCGGCACGTTTTGATTGCATGAGCACCACACCGCATCGTTGGATGGAACGGCCGGTGGAAGGAGGCCGGTTGCCAGCTCCACCTCCACCACGCCCATGGCACACCAGTCCGATGCCTTGAAAGGCAGAGCTGAGTTAAAGCATCAAAGACGAGCCATGCCTTGCCTGGCCGTAGCCGAACCACCCGTCGCACACCTGCCAGCTATTTAGGAAATACAACCACCTAAATAAACCCAGGTGGCCGATGTCACAAGGGTGATTTCAGAAAGAACAAAGGTAGCCCTCAGACACGCACTAAATTTTCGGATGCTCACCATGGGGTAGGGACCCCTAACGCCAGCTAGAAGTTGAGCCGCCCGACTGAAGAACCCCTAAACCCTAAACCCTCAACCCTAAACCCCAAACCCTAAACCCGTTAAGGGGCCAAGGCGTCCCGGGCCGATAAATATCTCAAATCTTGTGTTCCCAAGATATGGGTGATTCTCTAAGTTAGGGTCCCTTTTGGGGTCCTTTTTATAAGGGTGCCGTACTATATTGGGGACTTAAAAAGGGACCCTAGTTGAGAGAACTACCCATAGAATCGAGCCCTCGAAACGTTTTTAGGATAGCAGCCCGCCCTAGAAGCTAAACGCTAAAGCGGGGGTTCAGGACTTTGACTGGCCAAGCGTCAGAGAGCATGACCTTCTTGGACAGCCCCGCTGCAACGCATTTCAGGGAGTCCTCGTTCGCAATCTTGCGTGGATAAGTGAAGTCATGTTCTGGAGTATACTACGGCACACAAAAGGTGTACACATGGACGTTTCGAGAGTTTGTTTACTGGCTGCCCCTCTACTCTATAGCTTCCGGACCGAGAAGCTCTGGGACTGTCATAAGAACAGTCGCAGGGGATGAACAGCTATATGTGACGAGCTTCCAAAAACGTCATGTTCGACCCCCCCTCAGGAGCATTCAACCGAGAAGACCTAACCCTAAACCATAAACCCTGGGTCTAAACAATCAAAATTAGAGCGTGTGCCTGGGATGTTGGGTCTTTTACTTCTCTTCGGTTCAACTGTGAAGGGCTGGTTGGCGATCGCACTCGTCAAGAATCAAAGCCCAAAAAGACCCTACTAAGTACAGGGGCCTCCTTCAGTCCCTTAACCCGAAACCCTAGACCCTAAAACTTGCACGATTCAGTTTCGAAAGGGGATCCCCAAAGCAAAAAAAGGGGGGAATCAGGCCAACCCCAGAAACCCCCCAAAAATCCAACTCCAAGACCCGATAGAACCCTTGCAGAACCCTTATAGATCCCTTAGAGCCTTAGAGGATCCACCGCAATATCCTTTTCCAATTGCTAGGAGTTAGGATTAGGGGGACCCCCTGAAAATATTGACCCTCTCAGTAAGGTCCCCCTTTAAGAGAGCCACAAGTAGGGTTCAGAAGGGTCCCCTTTAAGGGGTCTACCTAGTACTACCTAGGAAGAGCCCCCTTTTGGGATCCTGATCCTGAGTTGGGGGTCCGTGCAGGCCAGAATCATTAAAAAAGAACCCGAAATCTTGGGGATAGGTGAGCTAAGGCTTAGGGCTTAGGGTTTAGG